GGACAGATGTTGGGTGTGTGGTCCTGTGTTTTGTTGGTGTATATTTAATATACTTCTAATAGCTATTTCAGTCTTTCTATCTTTCTAATTACTTCTCTCTCTATTTTCTCTTCACTTAAAAAAAGTCACTGATGTTGAAGAAATAAACTAAATAAACTAATATTTGCTTTCGTTTTCTACTGAAGTGACACAAAAGAAAAAGAAATCAGTTCTATTAAATTACAGCAGATCAAAACAAAAAGCTCTTTTTTATTGTGTCTTTCTTCATCACGGCTCGGACTCACTAGTTGCTGATAAGCGAAGCAGAATAGACCTGCTGGACCAAGGAGTCGTTGTTGCAGCCCACTCCTCCACAAATAACGTTTTGGCCCTCYGGGCTGCTGTAGTTCAGTCCGTCCTCCACCACGAAGTACACAGGAGCTCCGGTGTGGAGATACTCGCTTAAGTTTTTAAAGTAGTCCAGAACATACGAGTCCTAAACAGCAATAACAGTTTTCTCATGTATTACTTTATAAACTTAGCCAGTAATACAGATTATGACATTTAACAAAWTTTTTTTTTCTTAAACCAACAAAAACTTACATCAGGCATGGATAATTTCTGGTCCAGTCCAATGTCCACTTTGTTCATCACAGCTATACTGAAGGACAGCATACCCACAAACACTGCCACCTGTTCAGAAGAGCCTGATTATTATCCGTTCTCCTCGAGTCACTTCGTAGAATGAGTGAACGTTAATGCGTGGCTGCCAATGTGCGATTGATTTTCTTACAATAATTGGCCGAATGCCATCTTTCAGGATGAATGGAGCGTAGAACTTCTTGAAAAAGCGGAAGAGGAAGCCTTCAGTTTTGGCTTCCTGACCTTCGCTCAGTTTCGCACACCAGCAGACGTCAAGTCGGTTTTCCTTTTTAAACACAAACACGCCGCAGAATGTTTAAAAAAAAAAAGATGTGACTGAGGTTTTACTGAGGCTTCACACTGCAGTGTGGAGCAGTATAATTTATTTGTTTTAAGTCAGAGATTTAATGTCAAGAAATAGTTTGAAGTGTGATTATAGATGCTGGTAATCAAAAAAATCCCCACCCCTAATCCAAAGTAACACAATTATTACATGATGAGAACTYCTTGTAAAAACTGGACAAGTTACAGTCTGTAAAACCCCTTCTAGTCTATTAAACAAAATGTCACAGTTCCTTCCTCCGACACTCACCTCCTGTCTTTTGGCATCCAAGCCGAGCAAGCTGACAAAGCAGCTGATCTGCAACAGGAAATCAATAAAAACAGCCAGGCCGGCGAACAGAGAGAAAGTCCTCACTGCAGGCATGTTGGACAAGGCACCTGAGGATTAAAAACAACAAAAACCCATCAGTGGCTCAGCAGAACTTTATATATCAACTGTAAAAATCAGATTGTAAAAGCAACTCTGTTAATTCAAGGTAAAACATTTATTTATAAAGTACCTTTCAGATATGAAATAAAGTGTGTCACAATAACAGGATGAAAAGTTATAAACATCACATAAGCATCAAAAGTAAAAGTAAAACAGGATAAAATACAAATCAAAAACTAACAACTAAAAGCCTGTTTGTTAAAGAAAGTCTTCAGATGTATTTTAAACRTATCAATAGAATCAAGGCTGTGTACAGATTGGGGCGATGCATTCCCAAGTCGGGGTGCAACCGAAAGACCGCCCCCCAAAAAGATTTAAAATAGGTGCCCAGTTTCACCAAAACCCCTGACCTGATKACCTCAGCCTGCGAGACAGTGTGTGGAGTTGTGTTAAATAAGAGATATGTTCATGTAAGGCTCTGAAAGATAAAACTACAAATTTAAATTTTATTCTAAACGAACTGGGAGCCAGTGATGGGAAGCTACAACAGGTGTGATGTGAGCAGGTCTGCAGCCGAATTCTGGACAACCTGAAGACGACGCAGCTCCTTGTTTAAACATGAACAAGCTGCTGCAATTGTTCAAACAAGAAAAAATTATATACGCATGAACGATCATATCGAGTTCAGATTTTGACAAAAAAAAAAAAAACTTAAATTTTGAGCTATTCCTAAGATGGAAGTGGCAGTGCTTGAACAGATGATCAAGTTCATGTTTTGAGATTTTTTTTTTACTCTTTAGAAAAAAAACAAACAAGATATTACAACTTGATTTTCAGCGCTGCTAATGACTGCTTTCATAGTTATATAAATTAGCGGCTTAATAAAAATATGTTACCCAGAAAGAAYGCCACGGTCTCCGAGGAGGAGGAGAGAAACATGCTGGGGGCTATGTCTCCTAGAATACGACCGATCTGCTGGTGAAGTTCTTCGTGTGCCATTCGCTCGTCCCTCTGTTTACAGCAGCAAAGGAGGCAAAACCAGAAAAAAACAAAACATGGGATCAAAATAACTTCTGAGAGGAAGCGTCACACAAAGACAAGCATCATTTCCTAAAACTCTGGAGTGATGTAAAAAATAATAGATGTTTATGTTTGAGAGAAATAAAAGTCACTTTGTTAAAGAAATATGAAACAATATTACGTGTATTTATACGAAATGTTGTTCAACAAGGATTTGAGGTAGTTTTTGTTTAGTTTTTCTTGTTTGTAGATTACTATTGTTTAAAATTTTAATTTTGTGAAAAAGGCGCAGATACTATAAGATTTTTTTTCTTCTTTCTGCCACCTTTCATTTTATTTGTGATTTTTATTTTTATTGTATATAAATTTATTTTATTTTTTAAATAAATTAATAAAGTTTGAAAAAAATGTAGCACACATTGGTATTAAACGGCTCCAATTTATTGAGATTTTAAAAGAAACTAAAGGAAAGATGATTTTAAAGACAATGTTTTACTCTAGAAAACAAAAACTGACGTACCCCTACTAAAATAACTTTTTAATTTGGCTTAGCTGAATAAAATATCCTAAAAAGGAGTAAATAAGTCAAATGACAAAACAAAGGGTAAATAATCAATTCCACTTTTACAGACTGCAACCAAAGGGTTTACCTGATACGTCTGTACTATAATAAAGATGTTGTCGACTCCGACGGCCAGCACAAGGAAGGGGATGACTTCAATCACGATGAGTGTGAGGGGAATACCAACATAGCTGAAAATCCCCAGCGAGGAGCATACAGATGTTAGCACAATCAGGATTCCTGCTATGGCCAGAGATATCTTAGAGTCTACCTGTAAAAAAAAAAAAAAAAAAAATGAATCACCTATGTTTAGTTTGATGCAGTGATGATGACTTATGCCATTGAACCGTAAGTTCTTACGTTACAAACAGGAACGACAAGGTAAAACACTTAATAAGGAAAACTAGTTCCGGCATACGTTATTCTAACAACAAAAGCTTTATAAAGGCAGAAAAAAAACATCTAATGAACACACTGATGAAAACTATTAATGTATAAATGTTCATCTCCTACCAGCAGCCGTCTGAAACTGTGGATGTGACCGAGGGACAGAGAGATGTAGATGAACATGATGGCGTAGCTGATGACGATGGTTTTAATGTCGCTGTTGCTCTCCCTGTCCAGTTCATCTTCAATGCTTCTCTCTGAGCTGAAGGCGATGGTCAGGTTGGGGTTTGAATAGTTCTTCATGAAACTGATGAATCTGAAACGCACAAAGGGCTAAATGAAAACCTTTGTATATACACACACACACACAAAAGCACCACATTTTGGAACAAACTGATAGTTCTCTTACTCTTTTTCCCAAGCGAGAGCTTTGTTCATTTTCTCGGGATCATTCAGGTAGTTGTTGAGCGGAAAGGTGATAACAAGAGAAGTAGCGTTGTTGTAGTTTGTGTCTGTAATGTGAAAAAATAAAAAGTTTATTGAGATGAGGCAGCTGACAGCTTAGTGTTAGGCATTTATTTTTGAAGAACAGAAACAAAGAACCTGCACAAATCTTTACTAACTGTGTGTTTAGGAAATAAAAAGCAAAAAAAGGGCATGTTTAAAGATTTTATCATTAAGATGAAACATTTAAATTAAAACATAAACCTCGTAAAAACCTTTTGAGGCATGACTGCAGCACGCTTCACAGCTGATCAGAGAGGAATGCAAAACAAGGCGGGGATGTTCTTGCAACCTGATCACTGTTTTTTTTTATGTTGCTCGTATTTAATGAAATATGATTTAATTAGGTCAAAACTGTTAGTTTTTCCTGATATTATTAAGCTTGTCATTTACTGCAAGACGTAAAGTCATCCTGTAGGCAGATTTCATAATCAATGAAAGACTTTCTAAAATTCAGGGGCGGAGCCTAACAATCAGACCAGTGGGAGCTGACCAATCAGAACAGACTTGGCTTTTCAAAAGAACACAGCAGCCAACCCAACTTTTGTTTGTCCTGGGAAGGTGTGACATGCAGAGGCAGATACCAAACGTCTGCATGTACGGTACTTTCTATGAAACATACGTCACACAGCGCCTAAGTTTCCTTATGAATACAGAAACAATAGTACTCTGGTGCAATGACAATAAAAGTCTATTCTATTTTATTCTATTGTAAATCAAACGTTAGGTGGATCATTGTGAATTTTGGAGGAACACTGGAACTAAGAGGGCAAATACAAAGGTGAATGACCAAAAGTGTACAGCAGTTTCATTGAATCAATAAAGAAATGAACTAGTTGTTCACTGGTTATATAATAAATGTTAAAAAAAATAGCTTTTTACCATGTCAGTGTCTTAATGTTCAGCTATAGGGATGCAATAAAAACACAAACACGTTTAAAGCTTTACCTAATCAATTGGACCAATACCATCCACTCAATCATTCAAATATGAACATTTCCATGTTTGATTTTATGTCAAACATGTACATTTATTTTATTTTTCTCCAAATGAGTCTGCTTTGCTGTCACTTTGTAATAAAGGCCCTTTTAAATTAAAGAATTTGCTGACTCTATAATCATTTTTAAAGCCAACCTGGAACAGATATTCTGCCAGGGTTCACATTGTAATATTTAACAACCTGATCACAAGAATATTAAAAAATGCTCAGTCTTGTGAGGTCTGTGTGTCTAAATGAGAGATATGTTTAAGCCCAAACGTCATTCAGGGATAAATATTCCTGCTTCATCTGGTGAAAGCAAGTTATCCTAGATTAAATAAAATTYGTACCATCATAACCGCCAAGGGCCAACCAGGGGAAGACGGGGCCACCGAAGGTTCCTAAACAGGGATCGTGGAGGACAGTGGTGTCATTGGGCGACGCTGGCGCGCTGTGGAAGTAAAAACAAAAAAATTAAGTTAAAACCTTGACAAAACAAAAAAATCATCATCAACATCTGTTGGGTTTCATCTCTTGACACAGTGTCATTTAGAAAAACAGAAAAACAGCCAACATGTGACAGCTAAAGAGGAAGGCTATATTAGGAACATAATTTTGTGTAGAATTCTTAACAAAAAAAATGAAGATGCAAGAAGTCCAGTTTGAGGAACAAATGTACATTTCTTAGAGCAAAACAGAATTGTGCAAGCAAACAAAACTAGACAACAATAAAAGACAAAAAAATAAAAACACACATAAAAGCACCAGTTTATTGGAAAGCATAGAAAGCAGATTGATCGAAAATATAAAAATCACCTGACGCAATAGAGGAAGTGGCTGTGGTAGTCAGCATAGATGAAAAACTCATCTCCCTCACTGTGGTCCAGGACGGCGTGACTGTTCTGAAAGTAGTTGAGGATACTTAAGATGGTGCAGTTGTTGTTGTACGGGGCCAGGGGAGCCAGGCAGATGTCCTTCAAAGTGACCTTCTGGCCTTGATACGTAGCTTCGAGGTTTTCWATTTCCAGCTGCAGATCCAGCACCTGATTGAGTGAGGTTAGAAAAAAAACAACAGCAGAAACTAGAACTTTAAACCACAGTTTAAAACATGTTTCTTTCACATGCACAATAAAGGAACTGCACAAAAAAATAAATTAAAAAAAATCCCTTATTCTGTGTGAAATAACCTCTTCGGTTCAGTGCTATCATAGGTTTCTGATTGCACTGTACAGAAAAAAGAAAAAGGAAAAATGAAATCCTGTCAGAGACCTTGTGGGAGGAAAGAACTGAATGTCTGCATCTTTAAAATTGGCTGTAAAGAAAAGTGCTCTGAAAACAAAATAAAGGAGTGCTGCTGTGAGCGTGATTTTTTACAGTCAAAGTCAGTCACATATTATCATTATGACCAAAATAAACAGTGTCTTCTTATCATAAAAAGCTATCACAAGGTTGTTTTCTGACTTATTGTGGTGAAAATGATGAGTTTAATCCATAGTTTTGTTGCAGCTTACAGTCTAAGCCTGTGCAAAGTTCAAGTAAATGCTTGTAAAGCAGTTTTTTTTAATTATTTTCTAAACTGAACTCCGAGTAACTCACCTGGTGCAGGATGTCTTTGAACAGGATGGCTTTGAAGGGAACATCTGATCCTCCAAAATACGGAGAGTAGATGAAAGTGTCGTTGATTGGAGTGGTGATGATCAGCTGTGTCGTTCTGAAGAAGGGGCCAAAGTGCTGGTCGAAATAGTCCTTCTCTTGTCGAGCCTGGCTGGAGGGGGACGACCACAGCTCCACTGGGTCCGTGGTGATGCGCATGTAGACCAGGCCTGACGAAGCAGCGATCACCAGCGCCGTGCTGGCCAGTATGACCGCCACCGGGTGCTGGACGCAGAAGGAACCCCAGCAGCTGAAGAACGTTCGCAGGACATTCTCGAAACGTTCGCCCAGCGTTTCAAAGCATGTTGGGCTTCCTGTGAGGAGAAAAATATGGATTAAAAACAATCGTAGCACTCAGATCACAACGTAGTTTAATAAAAAATGTTGTAGAAGTTGCATGACTGTACCTTGATTAGGATCATCACTGTTGAGGGACAGGGGGTTATTGCTGTCGAAAATGGGGCCATACTCTGACGTGATAACCCTTTTCCTGCAAAAAATAATCAGTTAATTAGTCAGAACTAAAATATTACTGAAATWTTAAAAATCCAGGATTTGTGTCTGCTAAAAGCTTATTACCTGTAGCACCAAGCTCCCAGCACAGCTCCAAGGAAGATCAGCAGGAAGGCCACATATGATAACCACATGATAAAATACATGGCATCTATACCAAGGATGGTCCAGGGAGGAGAGGGAGAAGGAGGAACAGGTTTGGGGCCACAGGCCTTTGCACAGTCCTGACAGGAGCAGGGACCTGAACCGTCCTCCAAGCCCTCCGTGCAGGCATACGTCTTGTTGTTCATGGGATTATATTTAGCTACCGGCACATCTGGAGTGAACGATACATTTTATGAATCAATGGATTAACAAAAAAAACAAAAAAATCCAGTTTAAAAATTAATACAAGCTAGAGATTTATTACAAAAATGCAGTGTGATAATTAATATTGAAGGATTTGAAAAAATAATTTAGCTGAAAAAAAAAACCTCAAATTAGTTTGAAGTTTGTTTATTTCAATCATGAATTGAAATATGAGTACAAAACAGCAAGTCATCCAATACTAAAAAATCCAATAATATAAAAAAGATCTAATAAAACAATAGAAAAAAATAGAGAAAAAAACAAGTCGTCCAGTTAAAAAAGTAAATAAAAAAGAAACAAAAAATAAAACAAACAATGATGAATACAAAATCAAAATGTTAAATTAGCTAAAATATAGCTGTATGTAAAAATATAGCTGTATGTAAAATACAGCTAAATGATAAATTAGCTCAAATATAGCTAAAAACAAAAAGAACAGCTGAAATTAGCAGAAAGAAGCATGAAAACCTTAAATTAGCAGAAAAAGCACAAAACGTTGAAATTAAAATAATAGCAGAAAAGGTCACAACGATAGCTAAAAAGGCAAAAAAAAAGTTCAAATCAGTGAAACAGAAGCTGAAGGATTTTTTAAAAAGCCAAAAACAGAACAAAAAAGGTAAAAAAAACACAGTAAAGATTTATGAAAATTTTGAAGGGTTTTAGGATTGTTGAAGACAGCTCTGTTCTTTTTCAATCAGAAAAAAAGGGCAGAATAAGCTAAAAGTAAAAGTGGCTGAAGCACCAGAAGTCACAGCTCAAATGTCCTGAAGGAGCTGAACATAAAAACTGCGAAGCGAGACACATGACAAAAAATATACGAAAGAAAAAAGATCAACAGTCTTTACCTGAGAATATAGGCTTGATATCAAAGGGAGCCTGTCCATTGTCAGTACTGAACATGTATTCGATCCAATTAGTCGCATTGCAGTCTTTTGCATCCCTGCCACACAGCATCGATAAGGCTTTTATGTTGCTAGAAGGTAGCTGGACATCCTGACAGGCGTTGTACATAGCTAAATAAATAAATAAATAAATTAGGTTTTGTTTTTTCAAACATTTCATCCTCTTCTTTATTTAAAGCAAAATCTAATAGTCAGTAACCAACCAAATTAAACAATCAAGAACTTCATGTTTAGTCAGAGAAATAATGTTTACTCAGCAGATTTCTTAGGCATGAGTTCTTCATGGGACATTTAGTCAAAACAAGGAAGTCATGCAAATACTGTTTTGTATCCAAATCTAGCTCTGGATATAAACTGACCGTTAGCGAATGTTTTTCCAATGTAGTACGTCACTTTGACCACGCTGCCGTCGCTGATCTCRGTAGCGTTCATGAACTGACTCTGGTGGGGGCTGCATGTCAGCTCGCAGAAGAGGTTCATCAGATTAAAGAAACAGGAGGGACACCTGCACACGGATACGGAAAGTGTCCGACCCAGGATAAAAACAAGCACAAACACAACAATAAGAGTTAACTTTTAAACAAGTATCAAGGAAAAACTGAGGCAGCAATAAAAAAAAAAAAAAGAAGTGAAACACCCTACAAAAGATACATGACGTACAAAGCTGTGCTCCATTTGACATGAGAACAAGTCTGTGTTTATAATAATCACGCAAAGCCTGGTAATTTAAACCCAAGTGTTTCTGCAGCAAATAAAAGCACATTAACAGATTTATCTCCAGGTATTTAGAAAGAGAGAGAGAGAGAGAGAGTATTTTTAATGCGTGTCATGTGCTTCATCAGTTAATGTGATAAAAAATACTGCATACCGAGACAGGAACTGAAGAGGCAGCTGGAGACTCCCTTTGAGTGTGTTCAGCTGGTCAACATTACAGCACAGACTTCGGTCTCCATAGTCTAACCCAGGACAAAGCTCCTGCAAATAAAAAACACGATTTGAATGTGACTTTGATACACTTTTACAGATTATTCCACACTGCAAGCACATTTAAAAAGAACACGCACGCTAACGGAGAAAATAGCGTGACGTACCGTGAGGAGCTCATGACCCTCCGGCTGCAGTGGAAGAGGCGGCCCGGTGTAGTTGCAGTTGTACTTTTTACCATGTACCTTTACTGACTCTCCGCACTCGCCGTACCACACACACTGCTGGGCCTCAACCTGGGGAGAGAGACGCAAAAACGCTGAGATCAGTTCTGAACTGAGGCGCACGACAGGCTGTGGTGAAACATGATATGTATACAACTCCTTATTTATAAGCAAATTTATTCAATGGCAAAAACCAACACATCAAAAACAGACTAAACAGCTGGAGTTACTTTGAGGTAAGAACGGTGTGGCTACAGTTTAAGTAGATTTCAAAACATCGAAGCTAAAAAGTACCTTTAATTGAAGTGACTTTACTCTCTTGTATGCGTGCACGCATGTATGAGTCTGTTTTTCACCCCCATGTACATAAAAAACGGGTTCTGCTGTATTTCCTGTTTCTAAAACCTTGCATGCCTCCAAAAATAACTTTTTCACTTCTGCAAAAAAATGTCTATCCAAACCAGGATTTAAAGAGAAATAATACTAGAAAGGTTCTGCATTTAGCCGTTGTCCAAAAAGAAGTTGGATTTATTGAAATCTAAAACTTGATTACATAAAATATAAATCGACACCAAAATGTTTGAAGATTTTCTAACTAAACATGCACTTTCATTTGTTGACTCAGCATCAGAGCTCACGTGTTTCGTGTTGCGAAGGCCAACTTAGGGAAGTTCAGTCCCTTATTCCACGAGCTGTTTCATGAGAAGACCCAGAGAGACATTTTATCCTACTTGTTCTTTGTAGGGCTGAGGTCACCGCCACAGTTTTCAGGTGGCCGTATTCATGCAAACAACGTTTTACAAAGCCGAACTGTTTAGCTACCTATCTGGTACTTGTTTATTTAGGTTAACAAACAAATCACTGCAGCGGCCCTTGAACAGAAATTCYGATTCTGCCCAAATACAAGAACCGGACTACTCACGTGTTTGTGCAGGCTCACAAGAAGCTACAGATAATCAATGTATGCACCGATTCTTGTTCTTTTTCTTCTCCAGTCAGAAACCAATACCTTATCTTCAAACAAAGTCTGATCAAAGTTTTTAGCCAAGTTTCAAAGCATTTCGATCAATTGAAGTGAACTGACCCACAGTATCATGGAAAGAAGATAAACAATGCTGTAAGAGAAGAATCACGGCCACTGAGGGCGWTATTTACACAACATATCTGATTAAATGACATCAAAGTGTTAAAGCAAGCATCAACGCAACACAGATTTTTGTTTGTGATACTCCTCTGATAATGACATGTTTATATTGACAAAACTGAAATTGTAACTTAGAACGTGGAACATTAAAAACACTGAATATTACAGCTCCATGTCTGTTAATTGGTTTATTGTTTTAATCTCAAGTTTATAGAGTAAATATATAAACTATACAGACCTGAAATGCAATCATTTCTGATGTGAGGACTGTGTGCTTTATGTCTATGTACTGATCCCACTACTACTATTATTATTATTATTATTATTATTATTATTATTATTATAACTGTTTTCATATCCAACAGCGAGTAACAGAAAAGTGATAGTAAGTGGTGACATTTATAGAATCATATTATATAAAATAAGTAAGTCAAGTCAGGTTTATTTAAATGTTTTTGAAATTCAAATTGTATTAGTTTGCCTGCCAATAATCTGTTAAACAGATCTTATTATACAGTGAATTGGCACCATCATGAGTCATATAGCCCATGATGGTGACTCAACTCTTTTTTTTACTAAAATACATTGAAAGCAAACAATTTCTCAAACAAAATTTATTTTAAAATGTGCCTTAGTTGTGTGATAACTTGTTGTTTTATTTTGATAAAATCCTCCCTTTGTCATTTAAATTTTTTACATTTAATTGTAACAGAAAAAAAATAAATCACCGAGGTCAAACTTTGCATTTTGTTTCTGATTAACTTTAATACAAATAGATTACATTATTTCTTATGGAAACAATAACAGTAGTAATCTAACTCAACCCTGATTATAATTTATTTAAAAAAGCATTCGTGTGGAAACATCATGTGAATAAAACAAACTAAAAGGATATGACTGCGGTACTTGTGGAGACTGAATGGACAGAAACTATTTCGACATCAGCTTCAAACAACCTGAACCACCAGTGGAACCAGTCTCTGTAATATCATGACTATCGGATTTTTAGATATATATATTTTAGCACTGACGCTAGCTATGTATAATTAGACCCGTAATAAACCAATTAATGGATAAGTAAGTGTTTAATCTGTGTAAAGAGCAACGCTAACAACCAAACCTCGTAGTTTCGCTGACTGCCTCAAACATAATTAGCAACCGTAGCCACAGCTGAGTCACGTAAAAGCCACGAGAAGGCGGACATTAAAATTCACCTACTTACCCATCGAAAATGTCCTTCTGATAAAAATATTATGAAGACTATTAAAAACCTGTGCCTCCCTGGATTAAGCCCCATCTCTCTTAATAGATAGAAACCAAGTGACAGTAGCTACAGGTAAACTTCTACATAAATGTCTTCTTCTTCCGCTGAGTATTTGTTCGGGGCGGAGACAAGCTGTTGACTCTCGGCTGCCACCAAGCGACAATAAGCGCACACTGCAGCCACCGCCTAAACACCAGGAGGTGGAGTTCTATTAAAAACCAGCAATCACATCCTTGAAGTGAAGCTTAGATAATTATAACACCAAGGCCAGCTGGAACTGATAATGTAGAGTTGTTTAGGATTTTATTACATAATAGTTGTGTTGATATTAATTAAAAAAACTGCATTACATTTGCTCTGACCAACCTAATTGCTGTTTTACTGTTTTTATTTCTTCCCATCCAGAAACGTGTTATAAGGTTTGTTGTCTTTCATAGCCAGATTTATGTAACATTTATTCCAGTAAACAGCAGATACATATATTATTTTCTGTTGCTATTTCATCTGTTCTATATTTGTAAGAAAGCAGGATATCTTGATATCTCCTTGTAAAACGCTTTGAATCTACTATATGAAAACACAATGAAACAACCGCTTTAATCTTGACTTTATGCAATGCTTTGATTTGTGCAAAACACACAAATAACTGTCTCAGTGCGATCTGAGTGGATTTCAAGATTGTGAGAAGAGTTTGTGCAACTGTAGGCCATAAAATATGCCATCCTTTAGTAGTTTGAAAAAAATAACTGTAGATTTTCACATATTTTTTGTTTTTATTAAGCAGGTTGTTTAGTTAGAACTACAGAAGCATGGTGCTAATTCTGCAAAACATTCACAATGTACTACCACAATAATCTCTTGGCAGATTTGGAAAGAAACTGTCCTTCTGATGAATATATTTATGCTTTATGTTTCTGAGTATTTAAAATTCTGAAGTATGACAAATTCTCTTTGAACTCCAGTTCATGTCTAAATGATGTAGCAATTGAGAAAACAATATGTAAMTAAAGCTTTGAGAAAAGAACTAAGAATATTTTGATATTTTAGTCAAACTCAGTTTAAAGAAATGCTGATCCTGAGACTACAGACGTCTTAACAAACAGTTCCAGAGTCCAAGCTGAGATATAATTAGCTGTTAAGGTATAAACAGATAAGTTGTTATCAGTGTTTCTCTAAGAGAAACAGAACAGATGTTGTTCTGTCCTGTATGAAGTTTCTGTAGCATCTATATGAACACATTTTACAGGTTAGCTCCACCCATTCCTTAGATCGCATGGAGATTTTAAAGGTTTAATACTATATGAAAACATTTTTGTCACGATGGGACAAATTAATCTTACTTATACAGTATATTCAGAATATGCAGATGTATGCCTGCATGCCACATACTCTCTTAGGGGCAATTATTATTGTTATTA